CACTGACTCAGTTTCAACGCTCCTCTACAAGCCAATCAGATGGAGCATTTTAACAAATCCAATCTGCAGACCCTGCTGCCAGCATCAAGATGGTCCAAGACCACGATGCTCTCCTAGGTTAATACCCAGAGGGGTCAAAGCTATTTTTGGCAGGACAAGATATACACAATGTAAAATAAAATCACTGTACATTTATCTAGACAATTTTGTCTGGCCTAAATGTTTCCTTAAACAGATTATTCTTGTTTTTTATGTATTTAAAAGAACCATGCCAAATCTATATATTTGACCTACTGCTGACTAGTCTTCTTTTCCTTATTTCTTAAGTAGTGTTGCTCCAAAATAGGTAACCAGGCTCTTCCTGTCTTGTGCAAACATACATGGAAGTATATAAGCAAAACGTTTGGACAATTCAAACGAGCTTGAAAGTCAATATTTGGTATGACCACTTATATGCTGCAACACAGACTGAATTCACTCAGGCAAACTTTCTTGTAATTTCTTTAAGTAGTCTTCAGGAATGGTTCTCCCACCTTCTTGAAGGACATTCAAAGCTCTTCTGTGGATGTTGGCTGCCTTTTTTTCTGTTCTCTGTCAAGATGATCCTTCACTTCCTCAAATATGTTGAGGTCATGTTGAGGTTGTGCAAACCATGATTGATAGTGTTCCACGACATATCCAGATATGTTTTTACTGCAATGGCAGTCTGTTTGGGATCACTGTCATGCTAAAAATGGTGCTGCTAATCAGACAATCTGATGGTACTTTTCTGCTTTCATAACTCCATAAATTTTGACAAGATTCCCAACACCACGGCCTAAAATCTAGTCCCAAACCATGACAGAGCCTCCACCTTCTGTTTTACAGAAGGCTGTAGACACTTAATGTTGGACACCACTTCTGACCTCGTACATTTTGACGACAAGGTCACTTCAGTAGACCTTTTGCCACTGATTTTCAGTCCAATTTTGTGTAATTTGGCATACCTCAACCTTTGCTCCATGTTTCCCATTCTTAAACATGGCTTCTTGACAGCTACCCTTCCACTGAGATCATTTCTGATGAGGCTTTAGTGAACAGTAGATGGATCAATTGTAGTGCCAGATACACCTCTCAATACTTTTTTGATGGATTTTCTATTTCTTAAGAACATGAATTTCAGATACTGTTCATCTACTGTAGGTTGTTTTTAGGCCTTCCACATCTTCTTTTATCCCCCACTTGCCTGTTTTCCTCACATTCCTCGTTTGAAGCTTTGTAAGATCCCAAAAGACGGAAGGAATAAGTAGTAGGGTTTAAGAGTGTAATAACGGACTGAAACAGAAGATGGCAGCACTGCATGTACAAGGATGCCAGCTGCCGTTAAGCCCCGAAGAAGAAGAAGTAGTGTCCGGTATCGTAGCTGTGTCCAAATTCAGGAACAGCATCCTCCTGTGCCCGCATTTGTAGGCCGATTACGTTACAGCGACACGATGAAGACTGTCCAAATTCGAAGACTCCGACAAATGCGGCCGACAAATGCGCCCTTCATTTCCCCAGATTTGAAGGATGGGTCGGGTGTATACTTCGTGGCCCAACCTATCCCAGAATTCATAGCACGGCCCTGCTCAGTTTCCAACAATGGCGGCAGCTAGTTAGTTTTAATATTACTCTTATTATTCTTTCTGGGTCACAAAATAAACGTTTAACATATTTTCAGGCGAGAATGTAGCTGTGTAAACTTCAGATATCTGCTTGGTTTATCAAGACACCACATGTTTTCAAAAGCACTTTCGGAGACGACTGTTACCCACCAGCTCGTTAGCTAGCGGGGGTTCAAGGCTCACTAGAGCCGGTGAGAACACCGGACTCCCGGCAAATCGTTTTCAAACCCACCGCCGTCTTTCACTACTCAGGTTAAACATGATGTATAAGTCACTTAGATAACTTAAAAATGTTATTGTTTGGCTTATTTCAGTATATTCTTTGTTCCTTAGTAAATCAGTTTGGCTGAGATTAAAGTTATAGTTTTTACACAGCTGAATAAATGTCAAGCAGACAGCTGATTATCAGAAGTGTGAGATGCTCGAGAATATACTCCGGTGTCCTGTTATATCTCAGATAGCAAGGAGCAGACAGCTGAGTTTATTAAACTCCACCGAAACAATCTGCAAATTTCATTAAAATGTAATAAACTATGATCTTGTCTTTATTTTTAGTCAGCACGTACCTTAAGCACTTAAAGCTGTAAGCTAATGATAGTCATATAAGAGCAGGTGCATGCTGGTGCAATAAGCTGTACGTTTTACGTCCAATGGATGCATGATCTGATTAGTCGACTAATCGCAAAAATAATCGGTGACTAGTCGACTATCAAAATAATCATTTGTGGCATCCCTACAGTCAAACTGCATTATCTTTGGCCTTTTCTTTTAGTCATTGAAAGTAGAAAGAAAGTGTTGCATTGTTATGCCTCAATGATTCACAAGCCATTTTTAAGTCCTCTGGAAATGGTCAGGTACAAGGTCGGGACCTTCACAAAAGCTGGAACTATGATAAGAAAGTCTGGCTTCTTGGAAGCAAAATATAAAGAAATGAAGGATGCCTCAAGACTTTAGCACAGTACTAATACTACTGTGACAAAACAATTTTAAGACAGTTTAGGAGCGCTAACACCTGCAATTAGGTGTGAACCAGCGACAGGCTATGTCATGGGATATTAAACAGTGCAATCTAATATTAAACCACACTTGTTCAGGAAACATCTAAGTGATCTCAGATATCAATGTTCCAGGCATTTTGTTAGAGCAAATATACAAATGAAAAAGTAAGCCTCTTAGGAATTCAAAACTACATGAAGACAGAGGAAATGTTATGAGGCATTAAAATGGAAAGGCCATTATCGCCCACTCTCCCAAACTCCAATATTTGAAATATAGAATACTGATGAGTTAATCAATAAACTGGCAACATCAATCAACTAACAAACATCTTTTCTTAAAAGGCGTATTGTATAATTAGATTAAAAATGGGACTTGCCAAATTAATTCACACAAAGAAACGCTAATAGGATTAATTCCTCATGGTAAATGGTTGCATCGCCCTCTGTTGGTTGAGTACCTAAATCTAAATAACCACAAATATAACAAGTTTTCATTATTATGCTTGGCCTTATCTTATCAAGACTGAGTCAACAAAACATTAATTGGAATGCGCCGAGTGTCAAACAATTACTGACTCCGCTTTATCTGGAAAACACAAACTCTATTACACCGGTGATGATTATAATAAATAATGTTGTGTGTTTCTCTGTACTCAGGCACAACGATAGAGTGGAAGGACAGAAATATGGTGTCTTTGGGTGCATTCACGCAAGACCAAACACACACACACACACACACACACACACACTATCGGGAACAACAGAGAAAGTATTTGCTGTCACACATACACAAGCTTGAGTGTATGTGTGTGAACATGCATGGGGGTGCGTTTATAGCCCCCTTGCCTGTTGCCATGACTCACCAATGAGTCACAAGCCAGGGAGTGCGAAGTTGCGCAAATCAGGAGCCCTTCTTTGTCACTTCATAGTTTGGCATGGTGGCAGCAGCAGGTCGGTGACGTAATCTAATCATTAAGAGAAAGCTAGTCATCCTGGCATGGGAGTCAGAGGTGTCAAAAAGGGAGGAGGGCTGATTCAACAATCACTGACTCAATATGAGACACGAGTAGGGCTGACACTTGGTTATTGCAAATGAATGGTCTCACTTGACAGGTTGGAGTGTAGGGAGCTGAAGGGAAAGCAAGCAGGCACGCATCCCTTTCTAGGCCCAGTCACAGGTATGAATTATACATTCTGCGTCCATGCCGCTGAAAGATATGTATAATGAAATCCCACCATGGATCGTGTGATTCACAGACACACACACACACACACACACACACACACACAGAGCGCTTACTGTATGTGCACACAGCCCAGAAACACAATGCCAATCCTGTTTCAGCTATCTGCAGAATGAGCTGAGGAGTGAAGATAGAACTCCCATGGCTCTTATCACACTCTGCCCAGCTACAGCAGCGTCGACAAGACGAGAACCGCACATGTTTGCAGAGGAAACTACTGTGCGTTGAATGAAGGAAAGCAGGTCTTTCAGAGGATAACAGCACATTATAAAAGCTGAGTCTGAGCTAGATGGCATGACGCTGAGTTAAGAGTTTTTGCATTCGCAAAGTGGACAAAAGGCATTTAGGGTCAGATAAATCACCTGCCCATCCCCCAACAACATTCAGATGGTGTGGTTACTGCTCTTCTGTGCCATCCTTTCCAGGCTTTTTTAAACTTTCTGCTGACTTGCTGTTCAAAGAGGAAACGTAGCCACAGAGTTTACGAATAATTGCGCGCCTTCATTGAATTCGAGATGCGACTGCTCCCAAGCGTATTCATGTTATATGTGGGTTGCTTTGTATTGCCTGCCCTCTTTGGTTCAGAGAGCCTTGCAAGATTGTTTATCCAACCCTCACTTTCGCAGAACTGCCTCCATCAAATCAAAGAGCCAACCTTTCGCATGCTGGACGATGATGAGTTCTGTTTAGCTAAGAATAGAAAATAACAAGATTTCTAAATGCACAGACATGCACCACAACAACCTGCCTCACCAAAATATCCAAAACATGCAGAAAGACAAAAGATGTGTTTAGATGTCACCACTGTTTAATCACTTATAAATATCCTTAAATCAAAGTCTTTGAAACATTTGGCCCCTGAAGTTTCTTATTAAGGCATCTTATTTACAGTTCCCAAAATGCTTGGTGAGCTGATGTAATCTCTTAGTAGATGCAGTATAGCTATACACCGCCAAACACAATGCCATGCATGCAGCTGAAGCTTGGGCAACAACAGTTCCAGGAAGCACCAAAATAGAGACAGGACGTTCATTTAGTAAACACAATAAAGCATGTCAGCAATCTGTGTAAAACAAGCTGTCAAATAAGATAAAGAAAGACATGATCTGTCTTACTCTATGAGTTGCTCCATTCCAGCACCCTGAGGCTCCAGTGGCTCCCCAGGTGGGGATTTGTAGTCCTCCTTTTTACACCCACTTGTTTATTTCCTGGAAGCAGAGAAACAAGTGTGTTATTCCGAAAGTGCATTAGAAGAAAAGGCCTGTATTTATCGACAGTTATTTTTACAGTAGGGTGAAATTCCTTTGTTTTCCCAGTTAGGAAGCTGAGGTCAGCAGCACACTGTAAACAATGTAAAACAGAGGGAAATGCTGAACAAGCACATGTGGGCCTATCTTTAAGTCATACATCAAAATCATCATTCATTTTAAAGCTGAAGGTGATTTTTTCCTTCAAGCTATCGGTCTTGTAGTTTGCATGTCCTCTGTATCTGTCAACCTCTCCGTGTTTTTTTAAGGGCCTCTCAAGCCCAGTGAGATCTTGAGGTGTTCAGTTTCAACGTTATCGTCATGCTGTGTGATTTATGATGGAAACAGAGCATAGGGCTGGTTTCTGTGTCCTTTGTGAATTTCTCTGAATGTTACACTACTACTACCAAGTATCGCAGCCTTCTACTTACACATCATGAATCTGAATAGGTGTTTAAAGCCCATAAACACGATCAGGACTATCAGGTCTTTTCTTACATCCATTTACAACTGGTTAATTACATGATTTGTACATTTAGTGTAGCAATGGAACTGACTTTCAAAAAGTTAATTCTGTTCCCGTTTTCAGTGGGAGAAACGTTTCGTCGCTCATCCAACTGACTTCTTCAGTCTCCATTGACAGCAGGTTTCCCCAACCTTACAGTACATTTGCACAATGACTAAAACTAGCACCACTGATGAACAATGGGCCACACGGTCAGTTTCTTGATCATTAATATGCAATTTGTCATGACCATTGATCAATGGCCGTAAGTAGCATTCACAGAGAGTGGGGGAATGGCTACAATCACAGCATTGTAAGATGGTGACAGATGTACCCTTAGTCCCCCTCCTCGATTCAGAGATGGTCTTTCCCTTTTCACGTAAATGACCTCATTGACTCCTCGCTCAAACCAGAGTTCCTCCCTGTGCAGGATGTGTACATCCTCATCATTGAAAGAGTGGCCACTCGCCTATAAGTATGAATAGACTGCAGAGTCCTGGCATGATGAGTTAGCTCTTCTGTGTTGTGCCATCCACTTAGCCAGAGGTTAAGGAGGAAACACTTACAGACATTTTTTCTGGCAAGTCCAAAGGCCCAAAGATCCATGTAACTGTGATATATAACAAATCAAGTCATTTTATGCTTAGAGTACATTTAAAGATGTCTATCTGTCTTTATTAGTGAAAAACACTGTTGTAAATGCAAAAATACCCTGTAAATACTATCATTACTGTAGATAACTATGTATTTTTACTTTATATTACATGTAGTTAAACCTATGGGTTCATTTATAGAAGGAAAACAATAAAGTTGTTATTAGTTAACCTTCAGTTAAAGTTAGTAGTGTTTAGATGGCAACAACTAAAAAACAATAAAGCAAGCATAACACTGGATGACATGATAAATAGAGATGCCCTGGTTGACCAGCCAGGGACCAGAATCAACTGATTGCCAGTGTTATCGGCCTTGACCAGTGACTGAAAGATCAGCTAGCAAGCCTGTGCACAACAAGCACAGGAACACAGGCAGACAGTCCTCAGTGTGAGTCCTCACTCAACACAGATTCTCAAATGTTTTTTGAATGTTTAGAACAGCAACCCAAATCAAACACTTAAATTACCCTCACACAGCAGAAAACAAACAGCAAACAGCAAAACAGAAACTAACAAAGGCAGAGTAGCTAAAGCTAAAGCTATCAAGAGCTCAGAGCCAGCTACAAGCTAGCAGCCTCAATATAAGCAAAGAGTCAAAGAAGTTGCAAGGAAAATTCTGGAGATTCGTGAAACAAAGAAAAGGGTCCGTGTCCTGTTATCTGGTGAAGCTATAAACATACAGGAAAATATGTCAGGTAAAACTTGTAAACTAGCACATAATGACAAAACAAGCAAATCTGGTCTCAGTTTCAGAACTGCGAAACCCAGACCATAGGTCTTAAGATTAAGCCCAATCTGAATATGCTTGAGAGTTTAGTTTTTAGTTTTTAGTCGACTTTTGAAAGTCTTTAGTGGAAAAAGATCCCCATAGCCCTTTTAGGGACATTTAAAGAAGCAAAAATGTTTTTATAATTAATCCTATACTATTGCCAATATTACTATACTAGGGCAGACACGCTCATGTTTGCCAGTGAAGAGTCAAGCTGTAGTATTTGAGCCAAATGCAATCATGATAATTTGGGACTTCCAGCATATAAAGGATTTTAGTACAGCAGTGGATCTATTAGAAGTATAGGTGACCTTTCCAAAGGTTATTAAAACAAAATAAGTGTTTTAGATTAGCTAAAAGCATTACAAGAAAAAAAATGAATCAAATCACAAAGGCTGAGATTTACAATATGGTACCAAGGAAGGTTTTTTCTAAATAAGTAACTGTTACTCAACAATTAAATTACTAAAACAGTTGCTCTTTCATTTCCTGTGATTGACTAATCAAGTTACTGCTGCAGGTCTACAGTGACAGTTATTCTTTTCTTTTTCTTCACACATACACAGCTCAACTTGAATCAGTACAATGCGCATGAATCTAATCAATAGCTTTCATGTAAATGTCAGGCAATTATGCAGAGCTGCAGCACCTGGATAAACTGCATATGGGTGCTAACACCTCTTTCGCCCCGAGCCTGCATGTTAATTAAGCTGAACATCTGGCGAGAGGAAAAACACACTGTCGGATTGAACCGACGGGATGCTGCCTTGATCCAAAGTGCTGAATGTTTTGGAAGGTGAACTTCAGTTAAATTTTTGATGCGCTTATTTCCCTGTGCCAAGATCTACTGCAGTCCAAAAAAAATAAAAAAAATACAGGGATTAGGAGCCAATCTTTTGCTGATGGTAGGAAATCTCTGGCTAAGAAAAGACAGCGGATGCTGAAATGTGCTGTAAGGTCAAGTTCCTACTTTTAACTGAATACATCATACTGATATCACAGAGGAGAGCATTGGGATTACATGACATGCAATGAAGTTATTAGTTTGTTTTTATTTTTACGTCTGATGTGGCAAACCGTACTAAACTGAGACTAATGTGCCCTGGAATGGACTGATTGTGATAAAGAAACAAAAATAAATGGAGACTTCCACCGAGCATAAATGCCCTTGTGCTCTTTGTTTGGGGAACCAGTCGATTGAGTTTTTGTGTCCCAGCATGGCAGAGTTTGGTCAACAGACAGACAACCAGACAAAGCAATTTATACCAGCTGTTCACAGATAAAAAGAACAACAATACATCAAACAGCAAGAACAAAAGACGACTCCACAACAGAGCAAAGTGTTATTGACTCACTGGTATCTCGGCTTTATTATCGCTCTCTAGTTCTGCCAGCACTAGCTAGATTTTGATAATCCTACTGTATGATGATAAAAGATTAAAGCAACATTTAAAAACGGCATGTTTTATTTCTCTTTTCACATATTTGTAAGGTATGCACCTTTCCTTTCCTTCCACCTAGTCATGCATACTTGATCCATGCTGTACGGTAAGCAGGAGCAGTAGCCAGCCGCTGCCTGCCTGTCCCATCAAACATGCATAAGAAACAGATGTATCTTTGATGTAGGTTTGTTCATGTTGCCCCCGTGTGCATGAGTGTGTGAATGAGTGTGTGTGCTTGTATGTTTAGTGTCTCTTTTTCTTCTTCTTTTTTTTAAGTGTGCTTCCAGGCCCTACGGGCACAAGCTAGGCTGAGGAGATGCGGCTGCATGCCCCGACACACAAGTAGAGACGGAAGGTTGCCACAGATCCAAGGGAGGATAAATGATCGATGCAGCCATGCATTATCTTTGAAAGCATGATTCCTATTGAGGAAAGGAAGTATGCAACTGTAATAGCTCCTGTTATTAAAACTACACCATTATGCATTCATTCCAGGTTTTGTTCAGCCTGCTTCAGATTAGCACAAGTGGTGCTCTACTGTACTATATTTTAAAGGCTTAACCATGAATATGTTTGCCTTTTGCACTGACAGTCAAGGAAGCTTTGAGAATAGGCACCAATAAATTCATACCTTCATATATCCATAAAGAGAGAACTATTGTGGAATATAATTATTATTTTAAAGGTATATTTAGGGATCCTAGTACTCACAGCTTGGACTGTATTCAGAGGTTACTAATGTTAGAGTATTTCGCTGGCACTGCACTTAATGACAAGCATGGCACCGGTTCACGAGACACTCATCTTTAAGCACCTGGAATAGTGAAAACTTCCCTTGCACAAGACTGTAAACAAGCATAACCATGAGTCATCTGAGCGAAAAGCTTTCCTATCCTGCATGTTGCCAGCTTCATTCCAGCCAGTAGGTCCCAATTTGCTCCGTCTGGTGTGTCTGCTGTATGACTGAACTGTAGTTACCCTCCACCCACCTTCAAAAAACCCCCACCCGTAAGTTGATGACCACCTAATGTTACCCAGTCCTCAGTTTCCTACCATCTACACACAAATGCAAACATACCGTAGTGTAACACATGTATTTATTTTGTCATTCACACAGCTACTACTTCCATTCTCTCTCTCTCTCTCTCTCTCTCTCTCTCTCACACACACACACACACACACACACACACATCTTTTTCCTTTTCCCCTAAGACAATTGTGTGTTGCTAACTCTCTATTGTAGAAGCCAGTCATTTCCACATGTGTGCTGACCATAAAGCAGCAAAGGGCCGACTAAAAGCATCCTTTTCCTGACTGGCAGGGTCACAATCTGCCTCATATAAACACAGGACACACCTTAGCCCAACAGATTCCACATATCCTTCTGACCTCGTTACCTCCCCCGAAGTGCTCCTCTTTCCACTGACACAGGATACTAATAAATAAATGTTGACAAAGCCGCTTTTTTTTTTGGTTTTTGTTGTTTGTTTGTTTTTTATATCTTTCTCGTTGACGGGTAAAAGACAAAAAAAGAACACTCTTTGGGGTTTTTTAATTAAAAAAAAAAAAAAGTTTAAAAGCAAAGCTAAGCCGGGGTCCTTTTGTGTCTCTCAACGTGCCTCGCGCAGGGTTTCCCTAGCATTGTCATGACAACTGTGTGTACGCACCGACACTGGCCTTTGAAAACAATACACCCACAAAAAGTTGACTGAAGTGGGCCAGCTAAGATTTTTTTAAATGAAAAAAATCGTCCAGAAAACAGAGTGAAGCAGAGATATTAAGCGGAAAGGAAATGAATAGCGAACAAGTGCACAAGTGGGGACAAAAAGTGTAAGATGCAGTCATTCCCATACCTTCTTGTCGAAGAAGTATTTGTTTCCTTTTCAACTATTCCCGGGTGCCGTTCTTGTTAGCTAGAGTCAAGCGACTACTTAGCTTTTGTCACTGTGTTCTAAACAATTAGTTTGTGACACCGGTAATGTGTAGCGAGCCGTAGCAGCACGAGAAACAACTCCACCAAGCTGTAACTTTTCTCCGCCCCGGACTGCCTGCTTCTGTCTATCGGGGGGGATGCTTCGCTCCGCCTAGCTCAACCCTGAAGATAAATCACTGTGATCCACCGGATTTCAACTTTGTGTCTCCTTGCTGGTGGCAACATGTCTCCCCCCCCGTAAAATTACACAGTATGCTATTTATAATTAGCGAGTTTCTTTAATCCCATTATATTTACCGCTTTTTTAGTGCAAAATCGAAGCCACTATTTGTGCCCCGTCTCCAGGCCAGAGTCAATTGTGATGATTGATTTCGGACAGGACAATTATATTAATAAGAGTTTAATGGGTTTTAGACTTTGCCCCGCTTCTTCATTAGCGAATCGGCTTAATCCTTTGAACTTTCCTTGTTCAAACAACCCGAGTGACACAGACATTAAAAGAGGTAATCCAGACTCACTCAACTGAATGCTTCACATGCTACCCTTTACTCCAAAGACATTTACATCTCTCCCCTGTTTTAAAGGGACAGCAGACTAAGATGGAGTGGAAGGGCCACAGCAACACTGGCACAGTGTGGTGATAAGAGGACGCTGAAGAGAATGCAGAAAACTGAAGCTTGTCAGATTGAAAAAAGCACATTAACTTGAGAGTTGGCTGGATTTGTAAAAAATAAAATAGCTGGCAATGGACAGATGCAAGATATACACGATTACACCCAGTATCAACAACAAAGAGGATGTATGTTGTATCATAAGACACAGTGATAAAGTTATTTCACTAACTCATCAACACAAGACATTTTGTAAAGGGTAAACCCAGCCATGCTAGGGTTTAGCGTACTGAATCAAAACTAGCTATGTGTTTTGTTTGTTTTTAATTTAAATGACCACAATTGTACGGAAGTAACAATCATGTTGTATATTATGTGTAATATATTTCCACAAATGTTTGAAGTGCACTCACCAGCTTTTGTGTGTATTATCATGATGTTATTGAAAAGGATAAGATTATGTTTAATTAAGTGTCCTCACACAGAGACACACACATACACACACCTCTTCTTGTCTCCTTCCTGTCTCTCATCTCCTTCTCTGCTCCCCCAGAAGACTGAGCGAACTAGTGAGCCCTTCCTTTCACTGAATCAAAAAAAAAAATAATGGCATACATAACAGTTTGACCGGCATGAACTAGTAGTTCTTTTTTAAAGTGATTCTCAAAGACCTTTTAGCCAAGAACTTGGTATATCTTGGTATAGTCAATTGAAGAAACTGGACAAGTGGAGGATAAAAGAAGAGGTCTCTGCCTTAAAAACAAAAACAAACAAAAAAAACAAACAAAACAGCAGCAGCAAAAACCTGACACAGGACCTGAGACACCCATCTGACCCTTTAGCTGACCCATCTCCTGTTCACTGAAACACACACACACCTCTTCTTGTCTTATTCTTCTCCCACAAACACATTTTCTCCTCTGCTTTCTACCCTTTCTGTGTGGAGTTTTCCTGTACTTGTGTGGGTTTTCTCCACATACTCCAGCTTCCTGCCATGGTTACTGGGCGATTCTAAATTGGCTGCAGGTGTGATTGTGAGTGTGCATCAATAAAGACTAGGGTCAAAATTATAAGAAAGAAAGTCATCAGAGTCCCTCCTGAGACCAGCTTTATGGAGGTAAAGTTGTAGATCAGCAATAATAGGAGTCTGATGACAAGATATGGTATGCAAAGTTGTCAAATATCACAAAGTACATAATTACACTGTAGGTAGCTACTTACAAATTTATATTTTTGTCTTTAATTTTAAAAGAAAATTAAGTTTGGGAGCCAACATGGTTCATACTGTTAACCACTAGATAGCATCAGCGTGCCACTAGCTGGCACTGATACTAATACCATAAACAGGACTATACAAAATCTTACAGTGTTCAAATCATTCTTAAACACAATTCACTCCCAAGTAATAACAATAATCTCAAGAACTGAAGCAATCAACAAAGAAAATATTTACCCCATAGAATTCTACAGGACTGGAAATCTTTTTACAACCATATCTCCCCATCCGGTGGCCTTGCAGCAGAATGCAAGTTTTTAGACTATTGGCTTAATTTAATCAACCAGGAAGCTAGCTAGCATCCATGTTTGATAGTGTTTATGACTTGGATGTAATATTTTACATGAGAGTGGATGGAGCAAGTGTGCGCGCACCTAGCTGTAGGGAGCAGACTTTATCACTATTCATTACTTTATTGTCTCCTAATCACAATCTTTTATTTATTTTGGGATGATTTATTTGACCTCAAACATACCTTGATGGTAGTTTTTGTTGGTTGTTAATTACTTTTGCATTAATTTTAATATTTTAACCTAAACACTGCTGAAGTAGCTGAATACGTTTTTTTTTAAGTCATATTGAAAAAAGAAACCCTCTGCACCATATTTCCTGCCTTTTAATCCAGGATTTTGCAGAATAACATTCTCGTCTGGCAAACATCAAATCCTGCAAAGCTTCTGTGTCTCACTGTCGTTTGATATGAATGCCTTTATCATATACGGGGGAAACACATGCAGCTGACTGATAAATTAAGAGAAAGCCCTTAATAACTGAAGATTCTTCCAGACAATATATGATGGATGAATTTATCGTACAAAAAATGAAAAGCATCTTTTTCACCTCCAAAGGAGACTTCTTTGAAGTAACACATCAAGGCTCTCCATTAGTAACATCAGAACACAAATGTAGAAAGCACTTTTTTGTGGGCTCCAATTTTCTATGTGGCCTCAACTGTATTTTTAAGGCTACTGCCATTTTAATTTGGGGGGTAAGGGAACGGGGGACAATCAAGCTTGGTTAACAAGATCTGTCAGCAGACTGTGCAGGTTCAGTGTACAGGCACAGATACTTGCTAATTAGCTCGACTATTAGAAAAACTAGAATTTCAGTATATAAAACAGACTTCTTGAACAATCTGTTACCAAAATGAACTGCACAGCAAGTCAACTAATTTATCAATATTTCTTACCAGAGCTCCAATTCATTTATATAGCACATTAGAATATGTCTAGGACTGTCTAGCAGCCAATACATGAAACACCTGACTGTTAGCGTTTAAGTCTCTAATAATGCAGGAGATCAATATCCGACCAATATCCTTTCTTTAAAAAAAAATCAGGCTGTAAATATGTTCATTTCTGCCATAAATATTAACACGAGTCTGTGTCGACTGACTTGCTTTTTGAACCAGCCTTATTTGAGGTATTGCAATTTCTTTAGTTCCCTTCATTTGTTCGCTTCAAAGTTTCAGTTTAGTGGGAACATGTTTTGTAAGAATGGTCTCTGCCACATTAGGCTTCCTGACTTGTAAGTCTAAGTCAAGCAACAGTAAATTGTTCTAATGTTCATAATGACCCATCACCAATATGTTTTTGAAACAATTATAATGCCATGTAATAGGGTTATACTTATACTTATTTAAAATAAGAGTAAATCTGATTTTTTATTGTAGAAGCCATGGCGTCAGGGTCAAGGGTTCTTCACTGTCAATTGACATTGTCATCTTTCACCAGGTTGTTATCAGCCTCCCCTCCGTAATCATCATGTTTTTAATCACAGTTTTTATATGTAGGCAATGCGTCGTTGCCAGGAACAGCAAGCTGGGTGAGGTTATGGAAGGACACAGTTATAAGTGACTTTAGTCTTAGTTAGCAAAGTGTGACAGCAGAAAACACAAGCTGTCACACTTTGCTGGGCACTGAAACAGAAGCTGGCATATAAAAGGGCCTAGTGATGCCATATAATGCATCATTAGTATTATTATATGTGCTACAGCTTTCTCTAACTCAAGGTTTTAAAATGTATTGAATATTTCTTTATAGAGCAATTATAGAACATTTTTATTACAGTCAATTTACAGTATGCTCAGGCTGAACATAAACAACAAAGGCAGTCTCAGTTCATGTACTTTAGGTTTTGTAATTCCTTTGGCAAAATTATTGGCTGTTTTATATGTTTTATGGTTAGGTGAAAAAGAAAGCTTATACAAGACTCTGTATTCCTGTGAAAAACTTTGTCCAGGCCATGATTCAGTAGCTTCTAGGTCTACCTGTAGCAGCAAAAACTGAAGTAATCATTTTCTGTATGACTATTAGTCTCTTGCATCATTGTGGAGGAATTTTGGGTCACTCTTCTTTACAACATTGCTTCAGTTCATTGAGGTTTGCGGGCAGTTGTATATGCACTGCTCTTTTAAGGTCCCATCACAGCATTTCAATGGAGATTGAATAGAATTCTTTTCTCTTTCAGCTATTCTGTTGTAGATTTGCTGCTGTGCTTGACATCATTGTCCTGTTGGATTATCCAGTTTCAGCTAAGTTTTAGCTGTCGGGACAGACAGCCTCACACTGTACTCCAGAATCCTTTGGGATACAGAGGGTTCATGGTTGACTCAGTGACTGCGAGGTGGTTAGGTGCTGTTGCTGAAAAACAAACCCAAGTCATCAACCTTCCTCCTCGTGTTTGACAGTTCGTATGAGGCGTTCGTGCAGATATGCTGTGCTTGTTTTTTTTTGTTTTTTTTAACCATTTGGTATTAATCATTGTATTAACACACACCTGAATGCTTCAGACTAATATACTACCAAATGCTGCTGCTTATAGAGGTGCTCAAACTTGTTGATGATCAGTTAATCAAGTGCATTTGATTAGCAGCACCTGGCTGCTACTTACCCGCTTAATTCCTATGGAAGCAGAAAGGATGTACTTAGTTTTTAATAGTTTTTCATTCAGTAACACCTGTTTAAATTATTAGATCTTTTTTTCACATTGCTTACATCTGCATCTGTGATCAAGGACAACTTGGGGATGTCTTTTTATGGTGATGGGAAGAATATTTACCTCTAATTAAACTTTTACCATGTGTGACTCAGAGTTAGAGTTTACAATACACTGATACTTCCTGTTGTCCAGTTTCTATGTTCAGGTAGTTTCAACTTCTCATTATCTTAGATGTTTAGCCATCATGAACATGTTACCTCACATTCTGCGATGTCTACTGGCTACATAGTTTCTACATGAACTACATGTGGGCTACATGTGAACTACATATGAGCTACATAGAAATCATAGCTGAAGGTTGTTTTTAAGGGTGATCCCACTTACTCCGGATCTGCAGCGCAGGAACTCCTCTAAATTTCTGTCTGTTTAGAACCACAGCACACTTACACAAAATTTGTCTTGAAGAAATGCATGATATAATCATCACCAAGAGTGATTTCTGTCCTTACAAGCCTAATACCAAGCTGTCAGGATCTGGTAATGGGGTCACTGTAATGGGGTCAGCCCCATACACAAGAAACTGTGATGCACTGTGTATTC